TGTGACAAAGAGAGGAATATCCATATAGAGTGGTGACGATTTGCGTTACGATATGCCATCGAGATTCATGCAAAGCGTTTTGATCCGTAATTGGTGATGAGAATCCGATTGTTGTTGTTGATGTTTGAGCCGTTGATGCTTGAACCCCTGGCTTTGGATGAAGTTTAGACGCCATTGCTGCATCAGATATTGCTGCTATTAACATCGGAAGAGAATGATGCAACCCAGCGTCATAAAACATCCGAACTTGTAAACGATGTGGGTCCTGAAATAAAAAAGTAAAAAATAGAAGTTGTTGGAGTAAAATAGAAGTTGTTGGAAACTCACTCCTTCAAGCGACTTCATTGTGGTACTTCTAGGCTCGAAACTCAAGCCAGCAGCGAATTTTGCGATGGTTCCTTCTGTAGGATCTCGTTTCGCCCACAAGTAGTTACGAACGTCTCGTCCATGGACTGGCGTATCGCCAATCGAACTGCCCATATGGATCCCATCTGGAGTAAGTTGTTCCGGCGAAAGTCCCATATCATCGTCATCGTTGTCGATATCTTCATCAAATGTGTCGAACTGGATCAATTCGGGGGAGACAGCGCTGACCTTCTTCAGCAAGCGCCGCAATTCAATGGGAAGATTTCGAATGATCGCTCGAGCTTCTGCAAGGCCTGGACCAACAAGACGTTCATCGATAACAAATGGAATTGTTTGATTTAATACACTGCTGTAAGAATCGAGACGAACAGGAACGGCATCTTGCGGTTTGATCAAATCGAGGCTTCCAGATTCACTGAAAATATAAATAAAATAACAGCATATCAGAATCTTGACAAAATTACCGGAAAAAGAGAGATGCCATCAACATCAGAACTGGGAAAAGAACGTCCACAGCGAAGTTAACTTTGTTGTGCGTGATTTGAACGAAACGTAGAGAGACAACAGCGTGAAGCAATTTCCAAAATGACGCAGGATTGGATTTTTTGAATTTTTGCGAGACTAAATCGCCGCGCGTCCCCTGCTTTAAAGCTCTGAAAAAACAACTCATAGGGGGAGCACACCATTGGAAGAATCGCTTACATTCGATTTTCTTCCACAGTATCAACAACGGGTCGAATTTCATCAGAATCTTGCATGAGAGCAACTTCAGCTCTTCGGCCAGTCGGTTGCGGTGAAGATTCAGGAGCGAAAATTGAACCTCGTCTCTCCGCCACAACTGCAAGACTTTCAAGCAGAGGTGGATCTTCATCGCGTGCTGCAGCGTCTTCCGCGTCAATTTGCGCCTTCTCTTCCTCTTCTCCGAGTTTGAAGAACACTTCCTCAAGCGTACTAAGGGAGACGCCATATGCTAGAATTCCCAATGAGGCCCTTTGAGCATCGAGTTCTCGGAACAGATCTGCAAACTGGTGGACTGAGGAAATGGGAAGCTGGAAGAGTAACAGATTTCTCTTCGCTGCAGCCATTGACATCGCAGAACTCTTCTGATCATCCGTGTGGCGTGCGGCATCCGGAACGTAGCGATTAAGAAACTCGAGAACGGTCGACGCCGCGATGTCCAGCGGGGTGTGTGCGTCAACCTCTACTTCCAAATAATACCCGATGCCAAAGCGGGACTTCAGGAACAAAGATGTCCCAACACAACGAAGTCGCCCTGCCGTCATAATGGCCTTTCGATCTGCTAGAATGTCCGCTTCCTCCATGTGATGCGTCGTGATGATAATGCAACGACCAGCTATTTTCTCGTCTTGGATCAAGCGCCACAATTCCTGATCAAAGAACGACACATGAGAAACAATTCCAATAACGATTCAAGCACAAGGCAACTCTAAGAGTCAAGTCTCTCGTACCTGTCGACCAAGTGGATCAACACCAGACGTCGGTTCATCAAGGAAAACAACTTGAGGGTCTCCAATCAACGCGATTGCGAGCCATAAACGGCGCTTCATTCCGCCAGATAACATCCGCGGGAAACTGAACATTTTCTCCGAAAGCCCAACCTTTTCAATTGCAGCCAGAATTCCAGGCCACGTGTCTGCGGAAACGACAGTACGGCCGCCACTGTGGACGTAATTAATATTTGGGTCAGTGAAGAGCGATAAACCAAAACGATTGAAATGCTTCTCCATTTCAACAATTCCCGATCTTTGAATCTCTTCAGTCGCTCCACCAAGATTCGCAATTGCGTCAACAATCCGACCGCGTTGCTCGGAAAGAAAACGCTTTTGGACGATGAGATCGAAAAAGTAAGAAGCGTTGCTTGCTTGCTCTTTTCCTTCCGAAACATCAATACCACGAAGAGCGGCAAAGAAAATTAAATGTTCTAGACAAGTCAGATCCTCAAAGAAAAGATTCTGCTGAGGACAGACAGAGATCAGTTTTCGAGCGTCTTCTCCGTGACGTTTGATGGAATGTCCCAAAATAGTTGCATCTCCTCCGTCAACTTGTAGCATTCCAGTGAGCATACTGATTGTTGTTGTTTTACCAGCTCCATTATGCCTGAAGATGACCTCATTCTTCATACGAAGACAACTTTTATTCATACCCTAATAATCCAAAGATTTCACCGCCATACATGTCGAGATTGAGACCATCAACAACTGTCTTAATTCCCTCTGCAAAGAATTGCGCTTTTTAAAAAAACGATTTCAATATTTTTTACCTTTTCCCGGAAATTTTTTAACGAGATTCCGAATTTTCACTGATGCTCCCTTCTGCCGCACTTCCTGCGCTACGGGCTCCACCCAATCCGCCCTCCATGTGTCGTCGAACTGTTCATCACCAAGCAACAAATCGTCTTCTCCTTCAGCAAGCATCATCTCAGCAGCGCGAAGTCTTCCCTTTGCTGTTCTTTTACGAATTTGCTTCCACATGTACTCAAAGACGAAAGTCCACGGCTTGGTGCTTCCCCAATCTGGTTGAACAACTTGATCAAGATACCAAGCGAGTACAAAATAGAGGAGGGTGTCGAAGAGCATAATGATCAGATAAAGACCAATTGAATGCTCGTAGAAATTGAATAGACGGAACAAAGGAACACCATCCTCAGGCAACATACTGATGAGATCGATAACAGCGAGCGAAAATGTAATCGTTGAGAAGAGATGCGCCTGAACCAAGAGCGATGAAATTGAGTAAATAAAAGGAAACTTACAATTCCCTTAACGAGGACGCTCGAAATTTGGGTTTGATGAATGACCCAACCAAGACCATAGAGGAAAATATTGAAGACCATACCAGCAATTGCTGCCGTTTGGGCTCGTTGGAAGAAGACAGAAATCATGAATCCGAGAGAAATGAGAGAAAGAAGATAAATATAGATAAGAAGAGCAACAACAAGAATGCTCGTGACAGGACCGAAAACTCCTCCAATAGTGCAGATGAAAATCGCACACCAGACGATAATAATGTTCAACATAGCGTAAGTAATCAACCAGGAAAGCCAGAACATTCCACTCGACAATCCGTAAGTTTTCATGATTTCCTTCATTCTGAAAACAAACAAATTGAAAGGAAAAGAAACTTGATTAAAAGTCTCACTTTGATTCCTTCTCCATCACCATATCCATGACAACGAACGAAAAGACGGACACCAGAGCGAACATGAAATAAAACGGTGCAGAAGGAGCAATTTCTTTTGCTTGACTTCTGACTGCTGCGTGTTCTGGAAAACGCTCAGCGACCAGCGACACTCCTGGAAGCTCAAGTCGATATTTATTGGGTGGACAGAAGGAAGCGATGATTCAACTCGTACGCTATTTCTCATTAAACGCGTGACCAATAAGAATGCGTTCATCATCATGAGCGACGATATGGCGCTCAATAAATGCCTCTTCTTTGGGCTCATCCACTGACTGCATTGTCATTGATTGCGTTGACATTGATTGCGTTGTCATTGATTGCGTTGTCATTGGTTCCGTGGTCTGCGCTTCCACCGATTGCGTAGGGGTCACAAATTGAGCTTCACGGTGCTTCGAAAGGATTTCCATCACGGCGTTTGTGATTGCAGTTTGCACGAAAGTGAATCCGTGCTTTCCATAGAGCTTCATCCCGCACGTTGGGCCCCCTGCATACCGACCGTCGTTCGCGCGACAGTCGAAAGCATCGAAGTGGTCGATAGGAACTTCCTTCTGCCAGAACAATAGTTGATACGAAAAGTCCCCTCGCTTGAAGTCAAGCTTATCAAAGACAATTCCGAATGGAATGCGCTTGTCTTCTCTCATCGCTTCTACAACGGAATCCAAATTCTTGAAAAGACGAAGCGGCGGAGCAGAATTGTTGTACGTCAGTCTGAAGTACTCCTGAAACCCCTTCGAAACATCAATAATATTCTTCTTGAAGGCTTTAGAATCGTCGGCGAGGTCGAGTGATCGATCATAAGTGATAGCAATTGGATTTGTCAGATCATGAGGGCGTAACCGTGGGACCAGCTGAGTTAAACCAGGATTTGGCTCATTCTTGTACGTCAGCTTTCCGCTTCTCCAAACGATTGAAAAGCAGGCGATTCCAAACCAGAGAAAAATTTGAAAAAGCAACAGGATGAACTGCGTTTTTCTTCGTTTTCGTATCGTTAGATTTTTCCATAAGATCATTCGGAGCAAATCCCATTTGGGATACTTCTTCTTTTGCGCGGCTTTGGCCTGTTGCAATTTTTGACGCACGAGCGCCGCCTTTCGTAATTCTTCAAGCTCTAGATATTCATCGGTATTTTGAATCGCGACGATAGGATCTTCAGCTTCTTGAGGGAGAAGCTGCTCCGTGATTTGAACCATTTTCGATGCGATGTTAAAGACGGAAAAAGGTGGAAATGAATTAGGGACTAAATAGAAGTCACAACAAGAAAAAGTGGACACTAAGCCGATAGCAAGGGCCGAAAGATCCCTTTTTAGCAACTAGCCATTTTTTGCTTCCTGTCCTTTTTCGCGGTCCACGGGACAAGAGCAGAGCATGTGGCGAACTAGAAGCGTATGTGTGTCGTGGTTTTGTGTGTGGCACTTCTTCCCAAAAAAATCAGGCTAATTGCGATTCTCACAATTGAGCTCTTTATAGGACCGCTTCAATCGATTTATCAAAGATTTTTCAGCTTCTCGGAGCCAAACGCGAGGATCGTAGAATTTCTTGTTTGGTTTATCTTCGCCTTCTGGGTTTCCGATCTGGCCTTGAAGATAGCCTTCATTTTTCTTGTAAAAGTTCAATATTCCCTCCCAGTATCCCCACTGGAAAAAATTGAATGAACCAAGAGATGAGATGAAGCCTTACTTGTGTATCAGTATCGATATTGAACTTCACAACACCATTCGAAATCGCTTCCTGGATATCTTAGTTGCTCCAGAGCCGGAGCCTCCGTGAAAAAACAAAAAAGCATGGCTTGTCTGTTCCTGTGACCTTCACTTGTTTGACGTGCCTCTGACAATCTCCGAGTATTGACGGTTTAAGAACAACATTTCCAGCTGCATAAACCCCATGAACGTTCCCAAAAGCAGCAGCGATTGTAAATTTCTTGGGCGCTATAACGTTCAAGTGGTTATAGACTTGCTCAATGTCTCTTGGTGTTGTGTAAAGCTTCGTCTTTTCCACATCTTCGTTACAAACACCATCTTCTTCGCCACCTGTGATGCCAATCTCCATTTCCAAGGTGATTCCCATTGGCTTCAAGCGTTGCAGAACTTCTTCACAGATGCGAATATTTTCGTTATCAGGTTCTTCAGACAAATCGAGCATGTGGGAGCTTAGAAGCAAGAAGGATCAATTGGTTCATAGAGACGCTGTTACCTGAAAATCGGCTTCCCTGTTTGCTTGAAATGCTTCTCGTTTTCTTCGATCAGTCCCATCACCCACGGAAGAAGCTTCTTGGCGCAATGATCAGTGTGGAGAATGACAGGAACCCCTGATGAGGAATAATGTTCAGTTGCTTCCCTGCAACTCACCGTAATGCTCAGCCATCGTGTGAACATGTTTGGCAGCGACAAGAGATCCAAGAATCGCGGCTTTCTGGTCCTTATTGTCAATTCCCTTTCCAGCGAAAAAACGCGGCGCCACCTGGACGAGGAAGTTGATGAACAAAGTGAAAACAAAGTAAGGCTCACCATTCGACAGCTGGATGATAAGGGGTGACTTAACATCTCTTGCACATTCCAGAACGGCATTGATTGTCGATGATGTCGTGCAATTAACAGCTGGAATTGCGAACTGATGCTCCTGAGCGTATTCGAATAATTTCGTTACGTCATCTCCCAGTAAAACTCCAGGCTTCACAATATCGAGAACTCCCATAATAGAAAGTATTTCAGTTGTAGACACATGCGAGAGAAAAAAATCGATGCAAAAAATCGATGCAAAAGAATTAATTTCTGAAAAGAGCTGAAATTATCATTATTAGAAGTATAATTCGCGGATCGATCATCATCCTTATAACGTTCCCAATTACACCAATCTCGAACTCATTCTTGTTTAAAGAGGCTTCACTCTGTTGGTCGATGAAGGGAAGAATGATCTTGATTGAGATGAATTTGGAATCTTATGAATGAAACCATATCGACAAAACTGGATGAATTTGGAATCTTATGAATGAAACCATATCGACAAACTGGGTGGAAGCCCCGAAGAGTTGATCAATTGTGAACATGGGGAGCAATAGAATTAGATTATAGCACCAGCAAACCCACCATACAAATCAATCATCTTTTCTTTAAAAATGGAAGGAAGTCCAAACAAGGCAGATAAATCCACCAATTGATTAGCTTTGTCTCACTTAACAGGTTTTGATAGAGAACTCGTTCTTCCAATTTATCTAACGATCAAGAAAATCCTTCAAGAATCATCCTTCATTAAAAAATCGTAAGATGATGAAGGGGGTCACTCTTTAAGTTGGAGAAATTCGAAATGGCGGGCAATGGAGTTTTACTAGGACGGCAGAATCGCGTGCTCGGATGAGGATGGCGCAGCATCCAGATAACAATTTGCTGATCTCGAGTCTACTTGTGGGTGGTGAATTCAAACCAATAATTCGGTTTCATGATTTTCTCCCTCTTCGATGTTTTTCAAAAATGTCTCTTGGATTTTTCATGTTCGTCACCTTTTGCCACACTTCTGTCTTTGTTGTTTCGAAGGGGGCAAGCCCAAGAGTTCAAACTGACCCCCAGGGAACCGACCGATCAATAGAAAACTCGATAACATGGAAATTTTACAACATAATTTGCAACAGCGCTACTGCATTTTGTGTCATGACGTGGTTCGCGTTCTAGATCCTGCCAAGGCCTGACGCGCTGGCAAGGACTCCATATCTTTAACGTGTCCTTTGCGCCATTCCATTCCGGCTGAAGCTTTCGCTTTTGCTGGGGATCATGCGCGGTACTATTTCACGCTCAGATTCACATCACAGAAGCGTTGGGTGTTACACCTCTGAGTGATTGTTTGCAGTTCCCTGATAATCTTATTAACATGTTTTTGAAATTCGCCTCTCATCTCAAACGCAGAACTCCATTTGAAATGACGATGGCGTTGGTTTTCTTCTTTGATCGTCTTTTGTATAAATTGTCTCAGATGATAGCGCGATTTCAACAAATGTCTTCGCTCACGCTACTAGAAGATCGTGTCTGAAAGGAGTGCACACGCTGGACTCAAACAGTAGCAGACGCTTGCGTGATGATATAACGGTCTGCTCGGTCGATCCATTAAAGACGTTCACTGTGGAAATGAGCGTTTTGTGATCAATCCAGATACATTTTCCTTTGAGAACACATTTTCCTTTGAGAACACATTTTCCTTTGAGAACACATTTTCCTTTGAGAACACATTTTCCTTTGAGAACACATTTTCCTTTGAGAACACATTTTCCTTTGAGAACACATTTTCCTTTGAGAACACATTTTCCTTTGAGAACACATTTTCCTTTGAGAACACATTTTCCTTTGAGAACACATTTTCCTTTGAGAACACATTTTCCTTTGAGAACACATTTTCCTTTGAGAACACATTTTCCTTTGAGAACACATTTTCCTTTGAGAACACATTTTCCTTTGAGAACACATTTTCCTTTGAGAACACATTTTCCTTTGAGAACACATTTTCCTTTGAGAACACATTTTCCTTTGAGAACACATTTTCCTTTGAGAACACATTTTCCTTTGAGAACACATTTTCCTTTGAGAACACATTTTCCTTTGAGAACACATTTTCCTTTGAGAACACATTTTCCTTTGAGAACACATTTTCCTTTGAGAACACATTTTCCTTTGAGAACACATTTTCCTTTGAGAACACATTTTCCTTTGAGAACACATTTTCCTTTGAGAACACATTTTCCTTTGAGAACACATTTTCCTTTGAGAACACATTTTCCTTTGAGAACACATTTTCCTTTGAGAACACATTTTCCTTTGAGAACACATTTTCCTTTGAGAACACATTTTCCTTTGAGAACACATTTTCCTTTGAGAACACATTTTCCTTTGAGAACACATTTTCCTTTGAGAACACATTTTCCTTTGAGAACACATTTTCCTTTGAGAACACATTTTCCTTTGAGAACACATTTTCCTTTGAGAACACATTTTCCTTTGAGAACACATTTTCCTTTGAGAACACATTTTCCTTTGAGAACACATTTTCCTTTGAGAACACATTTTCCTTTGAGAACACATTTTCCTTTGAGAACACATTTTCCTTTGAGAACACATTTTCCTTTGAGAACACATTTTCCTTTGAGAACACATTTTCCTTTGAGAACACATTTTCCTTTGAGAACACATTTTCCTTTGAGAACACATTTTCCTTTGAGAACACATTTTCCTTTGAGAACACATTTTCCTTTGAGAACACATTTTCCTTTGAGAACACATTTTCCTTTGAGAACACATTTTCCTTTGAGAACACATTTTCCTTTGAGAACACATTTTCCTTTGAGAACACATTTTCCTTTGAGAACACATTTTCCTTTGAGAACACATTTTCCTTTGAGAACACATTTTCCTTTGAGAACACATTTTTCTTGTCGCTGAATTTTTCGTCATCGTAGAGAATTGGTACGCTGGGGCGATTGAATTGAGAATATTCGTGAGAAATGGAAGAAAGCAGTTCTTCCTTCGAGATTCGTGTGAGTGAAGCTGGTTTTAGCAACCATTAATTGATCTCAGTGTAAATTGTTGATTTCACTTGTGGTCGTAGAGATTAAGATTTATCATCATGTTCAGGTCATGTGCCAAATCCTTAAGATGTATGGCGCTATTTGTGTTCGATTGCTGCAATGTGATGTTTTTAGATGAAAATCACATCCGCTTTTCCAATGCACACTCTCCCCGAACAACGATTGCTGAATTGGTGCCAACCTCACCTTTGTTTCAGGCAGAAGTTCTGTTGTTCTGCACTTTTTGTCTTGTGGTTCGGAATTTTTCTTTTTTGAATTTTTTCTTTTTGCAATGCAAGCCGTTTTAAAGCAACTGTTTAGAGAAGTGCTCACGACCTTCTGGAGTCATACGTCTCTCCTTGCATTGACGGCGTATTCTCAGCAGGCAGCGACGGCCAAGTCTTGCGGTTGATCAAAATATACAAGTCGTACAAACATTCCTGCGAGGCGGGTTGTACTGATCCCCGTTTGAAAAAAACACGGCAGAACAAGAAACGTTAACCGAAGACATCAATCGGACTCTGACACGAAAACCAAACACAACAGATAGCAGCAGCTCATTTAGTGATGCTTCTTGTAACGTTTCATGTTTGTCCTCCGAAGGCTGCTTTTCTTCGTTCTGTGAAGCTTCTCCATCGATCGATTGAGTCTCTTCCGATGCGTTTTCTTTTTGTTCTTCCCCTTGCGAGTTGCAGGAATAATTGGCTTGAACCAAAAAGGCAGGCTCTTGATTTGGCTCCCATGCTGAAATACAATAAAATATGGAAGAGTAAGTAGAGACCAGAAATTAGCAAGGAAGTGGTCGGGATACAGATAATGACTCACAGGGCCAACTGGTGATGGAGAAGTTGTGGAATGTTGCAAAACATTAAGGTGTTCCTTCGGGGGTTCTCTAGAAAGAGACTTTTGCAGTTAATCGTAATCTCCCACAACGTTTTCAATTCAGCGAATCCCTTAATGAGATTGGATTCTTCAAGGAGCTGTGAGTCTTGACTGACGAATTCAATGACAATATGCGCTGAGTTTACAAGGTGTTGATGAAGACATGAAGCTTCCTTAGTCAGCTGGTGTTTCAGGTCGGGAAGATTGGAAACGCTCTCGTCAAAAAGCGTCTGAGGAACTTTCTTCCAAAATCAGCCAGTGCTTTGTCGCGGGAGGTTGGTCTGTCGATTTTCTGCATGACGAGTTGCAGGTACGTGAAGGCACAGCGCATTCCGTAGTCTCTGAACGTGGTTTATATAAATTGTTCAACGCGTCCAAATTGGCCTTTGGAAAAATCGCTTTTTGGCCAACATTCACTGAGAAACCACCAGGATCAACGACATGTCAGCAATTTAGGACTAACCTAAGATTGGGATAGTGTTCGGCAATAAAATCAGTGAGTGCCAATAAAGTGTAAGAAGCGTTCTTCTCACGGCGCAACCCGTCAAACAACGTTCCGCTGAGTTCCTGATGAAGCTCCGTCAGGGCGGAATCGGTCAGCTTGTTAGCTTTATCGACGGGTGCAGTTTTGATTGGATCAATGATGCTATCGATGAGCTGAACTAGGTATACTTTCAAGGATTTATCACAATGTTTGTCATATTGAGTGAGGCTTTGTCCATGAGAAATGGCCATCCTCACTGATGGGTTTTTGAGACTTTGTTCTACGAGACACAGACTTAAGAAAACCAGGAAAAGAAATCAAGCATGCTATCCTCTTGTCTCCCGCCCTAGGAGCACCACCACACTTGGCGGTGCAATTGTTGTCTGAGCTCCCTAACTCGTAAGCTTATGACATTTTCTCAACACTGTGGTCTACGGTCTTCGTTTCTCCCCTGTTAGAATGATGACTTCCTTCCTCTCCGTTTTCACTAGTTTCCTGTCTACGCTGCTCACGCTACCCATGACCCTAAGTTCCTGGGTATGTTGTTTATCCTTCTCTTGTGGGGTTATATCGTGTACTTTACGCATCGCTTCATCCTCAGATGCCTAAAGTATCCTGCGTTCGTGGTCTTAATGATTTTGACCGGGTTTTTTATCTACGTTTCTATAGTTCAGTGTGTTTTCCCATGGCTTTGCCCCCTGTTTTCTTACTTCGCTAACACATCGTCCGCATGGTTAACAGTATCTACGCTCTCTGTTGCTGGTACCTACGTGTTGAATTCCGGATTTTGCTGGACTTGCACTCTTCTCCCAATCGCAACCATGATTACCATTCCCACGCTTTGGGACGCGAATCTTATCAGTTATGCGCGATTTTTCAATCTTGGAGTAGCTGAATTTAATATGCGATAGTTTTCAACATACTGAAATAGAAAGCAGCATAGCTCAGTGGAAGAGTGGGGGGCTCATAACCCCCAGGTCCGTGGATTGAAACCACGCGCTGCTAACTTTGATGTAGTTTGATTTGCGTGCAATTTTATTAACCAGGTCCGTGCATTGAAACCACGCGCTGCTAACTTTGATGATTTGATTTGCGTGATTTTTCAATCTTGGAGTAGCTGAATTTAATATGCGATAGTTTTCAAAATACTGAAATAGAGAGTAGCGTAGCTCAGTGGACGAGTGGGGGGCTCATAACCCCTAGGTCCGTGGATTGAAACCACGCGCTGCTAACTTTGATGTAGTTTGATTTGCGTGCAACTTTATTAACCAGGTCCGTGGATTGAAACCACGCGCTGCTAACTTTGATGTAGTTTGATTTGCGTGCAATTTATTAACCAGGTCCGTGGATTGAAACCACGCGCTGCTAACTTTGATGATTTGATTTGTGTGATTTTTCAATCTTGGAGTAGCTGAATTTAATATGCGGTAGTTTTCGAAATAGAGAGCAGCGTAGCTCAGTGGAAGAGTGGGGGGCTCATAACCCCCAGGTCCGTGGATTGAAACCATGCGCTGCTAACTTTGATGTAGTTTGATTTGCGTGCAATTTTATTAACCAGGTCCGTGGATTGAAACCACGCGCTGCTAACTTTGATGATTTGATTTGCGTCATTTTTCAATCTTGGAGTAGCTGAATTTAATATGCGGTAGTTTTCGAAATAGAGAGCAGTGTAGCTCAGTGGAAGAGTGGGGGGCTCATAACCCCCAGGTCCATGGATTGAAACCACGCGCTGCTAACTTTGATGTAGTTTGATTTGCGTGCAATTTTATTAACCAGGTCCGTGCATTGAAACCACGCGCTGCTAACTTTGATGATTTGATTTGCGTGATTTTTCAATCTTGGAGTAGCTGAATTTAATATGCGATAGTTTTCAAAATACTGAAATAGAGAGCAGGAGTGGGGGGCTCATAACCCCTAGGTCCGTGGATCGAAACCACGCGCTGCATTTGATTTGCGTGATTTTTCAATCTTGAAGTAGCAATTTTATTAACCAGGTCCGTGCATTGAAACCACGCGCTGCTAACTTTGATGATTTGATTTGCGTGATTTTTCAATCTTGGAGTAGCTGAATTTAATATGCGATAGTTTTCAAAATACTGAAATAGAGAGCAGGAGTGGGGGGCTCATAACCCCTAGGTCCGTGGATCGAAACCACGCGCTGCATTTGATTTGCGTGATTTTTCAATCTTGAAGTAGCAATTTTATTAACCAGGTCCGTGCATTGAAACCACGCGCTGCTAACTTTGATGATTTGATTTGCGTGATTTTTCAATCTTGGAGTAGCTGAATTTAATATGCGATAGTTTTCAAAATACTGAAATAGAGAGCAGGAGTGGGAGGCTCATAACCCCTAGGTCCGTGGATCGAAACCACGCGCTGCATTTGATTTGCGTGATTTTTCAATCTTGAAGTAGCTGAATTTAATATGCGATAGTTTTCAAAATACTGAAATAGAGAGTAGCGTAGCTCAGTGGACGAGTGGGGGGCTCATAACCCCTAGGTCCGTGGATTGAAACCACGCGCTGCTAACTTTGATGTAGTTTGATTTGCGTGCAACTTTATTAACCAGGTCCGTGGATTGAAACCACGCGCTGCTAACTTTGATGTAGTTTGATTTGCGTGCAATTTTATTAACCAGGTCCGTGGATTGAAACCACGCGCTGCTAACTTTGATGATTTGATTTGTGTGATTTTTCAATCTTGGAGTAGCTGAATTTAATATGCGGTAGTTTTCGAAATAGAGGGCAGCGTAGCTCAGTGGAAGAGTGGGGGGCTCATAACCCCCAGGTCCGTGGATCGAAACCATGCGCTGCTAACTTTGATGTAGTTTGATTTGCGTGCAATTTTATTAACCAGGTCCGTGGATTGAAACCACGCGCTGCTAACTTTGATGATTTGATTTGCGTCATTTTTCAATCTTGGAGTAGCTGAATTTAATATGCGGTAGTTTTCGAAATAGAGAGCAGTGTAGCTCAGTGGACGAGTGGGGGGCTCATAACCCCTAGGTCCGTGGATTGAAACCACGCGCTGCTAACTTTGATGTAGTTTGATTTGCGTGCAACTTTATTAACCAGGTCCGTGGATTGAAACCACGCGCTGCTAACTTTGATGTAGTTTGATTTGCGTGCAATTTTATTAACCAGGTCCGTGGATTGAAACCACGCGCTGCTAACTTTGATGATTTGATTTGTGTGATTTTTCAATCTTGGAGTAGCTGAATTTAATATGCGGTAGTTTTCGAAATAGAGAGCAGCGTAGCTCAGTGGAAGAGTGGGGGGCTCATAACCCCCAGGTTCGCATGGATCGAAACCATGCGCTGCTAACTTTGATGTAGTTTGATTTGCGTGCAATTTTATTAACCAGGTCCGTGGATTGAAACCACGCGCTGCTAACTTTGATGATTTGATTTGCGTCATTTTTCAATCTTGGAGTAGCTGAATTTAATATGCGGTAGTTTTCGAAATAGAGAGCAGTGTAGCTCAGTGGAAGAGTGGGGGGCTCATAACCCCCAGGTCCGTGGATTGAAACCACGCGCTGCTAACTTTGATGTAGTTTGATTTGCGTGCAATTTTATTAACCAGGTCCGTGCATTGAAACCACGCGCTGCTAACTTTGATGATTTGATTTGCGTGATTTTTCAATCTTGGAGTAGCTGAATTTAATATGCGATAGTTTTCAAAATACTGAAATAGAGAGCAGGAGTGGGGGGCTCATAACCCCTAGGTCCGTGGATCGAAACCACGCGCTGCATTTGATTTGCGTGATTTTTCAATCTTGGAGTAGCTGAATTTAATATGCGATAGTTTTCAAAATACTGAAATAGAGAGCAGGAGTGGGGGGCTCATAACCCCTAGGTCCGTGGATCGAAACCACGCGCTGCATTTGATTTGCGTGATTTTTCAATCTTGAAGTAGCAATTTTATTAACCAGGTCCGTGCATTGAAATCACGCGCTGCTAACTTTGATGATTTGATTTGTGTGATTTTTCAATCTTGGAGTAGCTGAATTTAATATGCGGTAGTTTTCGAAATAGAGAGCAGCGTAGCTCAGTGGAAGAGTGGGGGGCTCATAACCCCCAGGTCCGTGGATCGAAACCATGCGCTGCTAACTTTGATGTAGTTTGATTTGCGTGCAATTTTATTAACCAGGTCCGTGGATTGAAACCACGCGCTGCTAACTTTGATGATTTGATTTGCGTCATTTTTCAATCTTGGAGTAGCTGAATTTAATATGCGGTAGTTTTCGAAATAGAGAGCAGTGTAGCTCAGTGGAAGAGTGGGGGGCTCATAACCCCCAGGTCCGGGGATTGAAACCACGCGCTGCTAACTTTGATGTAGTTTGATTTGCGTGCAATTTTATTAACCAGGTCCGTGCATTGAAACCACGCGCTGCTAACTTTGATGATTTGATTTGCGTGATTTTTCAATCTTGGAGTAGCTGAATTTAATATGCGATAGTTTTCAAAATACTGAAATAGAGAGCAGGAGTGGGGGGCTCATAACCCCTAGGTCCGTGGATCGAAACCACGCGCTGCATTTGATTTGCGTGATTTTTCAATCTTGAAGTAGCAATTTTATTAACCAGGTCCGTGCATTGAAACCACGCGCTGCTAACTTTGATGATTTGATTTGCGTGATTTTTCAATCTTGGAGTAGCTGAATTTAATATGCGATAGTTTTCAAAATACTGAAATAGAGAGCAGGAGTGGGGGGCTCATAACCCCTAGGTCCGTGGATCGAAACCACGCGCTGCATTTGATTTGCGTGATTTTTCAATCTTGAAGTAGCTGAATTTAATATGCGATAGTTTTCAAAATACTGAAATAGAGAGTAGCGTAGCTCAGTGGACGAGTGGGGGGCTCATAACCCCTAGGTCCGTGGATTGAAACCACGCGCTGCTAACTTTGATGTAGTTTGATTTGCGTGCAACTTTATTAACCAGGTCCGTGGATTGAAACCACGCGCTGCTAACTTTGATGTAGTTTGATTTGCGTGCAATTTTATTAACCAGGTCCGTGGATTGAAACCACGCGCTGCTAACTTTGATGATTTGATTTGTGTGATTTTTCAATCTTGGAGTAGCTGAATTTAATATGCGGTAGTTTTCGAAATAGAGAGCAGCGTAGCTCAGTGGAAGAGTGGGGGGCTCATAATCCCCAGGTCCGTGGATTGAAACCATGCGCTGCTAACTTTGATGTAGTTTGATTTGCGTGCAATTTTATTAACCAGGTCCGTGCATTGAAACCACGCGCTGCTAACTTTGATGATTTGATTTGCGTGATTTTTCAATCTTGGAGTAGCTGAATTTAATATGCGATAGTTTTCAAAATACTGAAATAGAGAGCAGGAGTGGGGGGCTCATAACCCCTAGGTCCGTGGATCGAAACCACGCGCTGCATTTGATTTGCGTGATTTTTCAATCTTGAAGTAGCAATTTTATTAACCAGGTCCGTGCATTGAAACCACGAGCTGCTAACTTTGATGATTTGATTTGCGTGATTTTTCAATCTTGGAGTAGCTGAATTTAATATGCGATAGTTTTCAAAATACTGAAATAGAGAGCAGGAGTGGGGGGCTCATAACCCCTAGGTCCGTGGATCGAAACCACGCGCTGCATTTGATTTGCGTGATTTTTCAATCTTGAAGTAGCAATTTTATTAACCAGGTCCGTGCATTGAAACCACGCGCTGCTAACTTTGATGATTTGATTTGCGTGATTTTTCAATCTTGGAGTAGCTGAATTTAATATGCGATAGTTTTCAAAATACTGAAATAGAGAGCAGGAGTGGGGGGCTCATAACCCCTAGGTCCGTGGATCGAAACCACGCGCTGCATTTGATTTGCGTGATTTTTCAATCTTGAAGTAGCTGAATTTAATATGCGATAGTTTTC